AAAAAAAAAAAAACCAAAGAATTCTAAGACTCCTTAGATGGGGCACAATTGAGAGAGTACACAGTTTCCACCTTTCTCCTTATTCCTGACAATAGTTTATAATTTGTTATTTTTCTTTGGCATTGACAGAGTGATCTTTCTTTTTATACTTTACTTTTAAAGATGCATTTCTCTGTTCTGATTATAGAAAAAGAAGGAAAATCATTCAATAATCCCACCTGGAATAATCCTGGAACATTCTGGTATATTTCTTCCAGACATTTTTCTACACGAAACTTTTATCCATAGTTAAGCCATGCTATATAAATAGTTTACAACACATTCTGAGGGGGTTTTCCCCCACTTATTGCTACACAAATATTTTCGGATGTCACTAAAATGCCACCCTGAACATCACATTTATTGGTGGATACTTCCTAGTTTACTATTTCCCAATGATCAGATTTGGAGGATGTTTCTGTAGCTTGCTACTACAATAAGAAAGGCTTCAATCTTTGGAAATAACTTTTTTTTTTCTCCCCAGAGTGTACTACATTGAAGATGTTTATTTGCTTGCTTGTTTTTTTCTGTTCATATATGTATCAGAGCCAGTTGGCTGAAGTTCTGCTATACGTGCTTGCATCACTAGGGTAGCCAAGCTGAAGGCACACTTCCACGTGGCAGAGAGCAAAAAGTGATGGCAGAGCAACATAATGACTTTTACTTCTCTTGTTGTTGAGAGTATACAAAACAGCACAACAAACATCAATTCAAGAATTTCTACATGTATAATTCAGTGACATTAATTACCTTCTTTGAGTTGTACAAACATTCTTACCCTCCTTTTCTTAGTTGTTCCTCCGTCATTAACATAAACTCACTGTCTCCTAAGGTTCTTATCTAATCTTTCAAGTTGCTTTTGTCAATTTGATCCCATATAGATAGTTCTTAAAAGAACAGACCTTTTCTTCTAGTTAAGTTAAATTATCAGGTCACTTCAAGAACTCTTCAGGGAACATCTTGGTTTAAGGTTTAAAGATTAACTCAGGGCAATAGTTTACCCAGCGTCCATGGTTCCAGAAAGTCTAGAGTCCATGAGCATTTGAAATTCTGGTCTGCATTTCTCCCCCTTTTGATCAGGATTCTTCTGTGGAATCTTTGAAATGTTCAGTAATGGTGGCTAGTAGTTTAGAATTTGTTCTTCCTTTTCTTTGGTGTTGCTTGAGTGATCTTTTTATTCTTTATTTTAAAGATGCATACTCCTTTTCTGATTACAGAGAAAGAAAAAAAGATCATTCATAATCCCACTTACTTCTTGTGGTCTCATGGCAAAGGAGGCTGTTGTTCATGGAGGTGGAAATAACGTTTTTTCTATTCTAATCTCAGTGCACGTCTTTAAAAGAGGTTCCATTAGGTGGCATTACTAGTTGAAGGGTAAAACAGTCAATACTCAAATTCTTAACCTCGTTCCACGTCAAGACACAGGAAAAAGGCAGCAAACAGCTCAGGTAGTAATTTCCCTCATTTTAGGAAACTGTCCAATATAAAGGGCAACTTCATAAAGGAGCTCTGGCGGTGTAATGGTTAAAGCATTGGCTGCTAATCAACAGGTCGACGGTTCCAACCCACTCTCTCCGTCTGAGAAAGATGAGGCAGTCAGCTTCCTTAAAGGATTTACAGCCTTGGAGACCCTATGGGGCAGTTCTACTCCGTCCTATAGGGTCGCTGTGAGTCGGGATCTAATTGGTGACAGTGGGTTGTGTATCTGGTAGCAAAGTTCATTACTTAGCATTAAAAGGCAATGGATTTAAAATACACTGGTACTTTAAAGGCAGGGTAATTATTTTAACTTTTCGCTTGGCTCTCTCCTTAAAGCAATCAGAAACAAATACTGGAACTCCAAAAACGTTAACTTTACAGCGAGAGTCCGCCTCCTGCAGGAAGCACTCACCCGTGCAGGACAGAAGCGGGCTCCCGAGCAGGAGCGGCGACACCAGGTCCTTACCTAGGCAGCGCCAGGGTCTCGCTCGCGAGGCCCAAGGCGGCGAGGATCGAGGGCACCGCCAACACTCCATCGAGGTCAAACACAGCAGCGCGCAGCGCCATAGCCAGACTACGACTCTGCCACCGACCCAGGGAATTATGAGAAGACTACGAAGGCGAGTCTGTACATAAAGGCCGCAGGGAGCTCCCGCCCCGCCCCCTCATCCCGGTCCGGAGCCGGTGGGGCCACCCGCAGTTTTCTGTCTCCACCTGCACAGCTTCCAGATGCAAGAACTCTGGGCTAGAACGCAACTCCTTCAGTCACCTAAATGTCCAAAGTCTCACTGCGCACCCACAAGCTTTGAGAAAAAGGAGGCCTGAGAGACAGAAGCCACAAACACACTGAAGCGTGTGTATGTGCGTGTATGTGTTACCAAATGGTTTTTCATTCAATATTTATGTTTATTTCTGTTTGTATACTGAATAAACTAATAGTTTTGGTACCCCATTTTCTAGATTTGATACATATGTTTACAGATCCTTCTCTGGTGGCGTAGTGCCTAAGGCATTTGACTGCTAACCAGAAGGCGGGGGCTTCAAACCCACCAGCCACTCCTGGGAAGGATGTTTGGGCAATCTACTTCCCTAGTGATGCTGCCTTGGAAACCCAAGGAGGGGTTGTTGTGAGTCGGATCCGACTCCCGGACACTGAGTTTTGTTTTGGTGGTGACTATCATGACTCTCCTCTGCTCATGCCCTTCTTTGTCAAGGCAAAATGTGTTTACAGAACATAATGCGCCAGATGTGATATGACAACCCATAATATTCTGACTCAAATCGTGTAATGAGGTTTAGGAGAAATAAATATGAATTATTATTTCACCTTTGGACATTCTACTCATAGTAATGCTGCCTAAAAATGTACAAACTTTGTTTTTTAATTATTGATTTCACACAATTGGCTCATTTATGCTTCTGGAAAACTGAAACTTTGGTTAGGAATTCCCAGCTATTTTTATGTGGGTGATTGTTGGATTCCTCATGCCTTTGTAGTGAGGTGTCGTTAATTAAAACTTGTTTTTGGCCAAATTTGTCGAAAGCATGGCTCAAGACAGAGAGAAAGGAGATATCTGTCTTGAATGTGTCATGTGTGAATTTATCCAAGATAGTCTCACTATTTAGGATCTCTGATGGTACAGTAAGGAGCATGGTACCTAAGGCATTTGACTGCTAACCAGGAGGCTGGCAGCTCAAACCCACCAGCCACTCCTCAGAAGGCAGGTTTGGCAATCTACTCAGAAGCCCAGAAGTGGTTGCTATGAGTCCGAATTGACTCAATGGCAGTGAGGTTTTTTTTTTTTTTTTTGGTGGTGCAGTTGCTAAGGCATGCTGCTTATAACTGAAAGGTTGAAAGTTCGAACCCATTAGCCGCTCCACAGGAGAAAGATGAAGCGCTCTGCTTCCAAAGCCTTGGAAACTACTGGACTGTTCTATCCTGTCCTATTGGGAGGCTATGAGTCAGAATTGACTTGGTGGTGGTGGGTTGGGTCTTTTGGTTTTTATTTTCTGCTATTTAGTTATAAAAGGAGTTTTGGTGTGTACTGGTTAAGGCATTTTGGCTGCTAACCAAAAGATTGGTGGTTGGAACACACCAGTCATTCCTGCAGAAGAAAGATGAGGCAGTCGGCTTGCATAAAGATTTACAGCCTTGAAAACCCAATGGGGGTTGCTCTGAATAGCAATCAACTGGATGGCAATGAG